CTTAATGAAGATACTGCTTATGAATGAATTTAATTACTTTATTACAGTTTGATTATGGTTCGATTAATAAAATTTATTGAGACTGAAATTTTTTTGTTAAGTTCATACATTAAAAGGAATGCATGTGTGGTGAGTACAGCTGCTAGAATTGTTTGCAAAACATAATTGATAAGATACGGTAGGCTACGGATGATTGGTTGTTATAGTTTTCTTGCTCCAATTTTCCGTTAGTAATACTTGTGCAAAGTACTGTAGTGACATTTTTACAATTTTCCGTTTTTAAGGGAATAATAATTCTGTGGTATTATCGAAATATTTTGCATGTAGAATAAGTTGACTATAATAAGACTTGTGAGGGAAATATGCAAATAAAGCAGCATGCAAGGATCGACTTTATCTCAGAATACTGTTGTGAACATACATGAGGCGGTGAAATGATACAGTGTGTTTGGAATCAAAAAATATTTCATTATTGCGGAAGAAACAAGGAGAATATGGTTAGTCAGGAAAAATAAGAAAAAATCAAAAAAGGGAGAAATGGATAAATTGGAAAATCAATGCGTGTAATTTTTGTGTTTCTTTGATTTGTTTCTAAAATTCATGCTGCTGAATTAATCATATGAGAGATTCAGCTTTCTTCCTCACAATGCAAAAATGCTAATTATACTTTAGGTCTTTCTTGTTAATTTTATTTAAAAAAAATGATCAAATTGGTGGAATGTTTGTAGCTGCTAACCCAATATCGATATAAGGATCATCATTTTTATACCTGATAACCTGGGAAGATTCACCAACGAACGTTTCAATGTCATTTTATAGCTGCATAATTATAATCATAAATCTTTCTAGATAATGCTAAACATACCGTCATTTGGTTTATTGATCTACCCATTTACTGCTTCTCTGAAGTATTGGTTGTGATATTTCAAATAAAGAATTTGCCATTTTTTGTTTACATAAATACTTCTTTGAATACTCAATTTCAAGACCGTGAGAATTTATGTGCGCTAACTAATTTAAATTCACAATGAAAGAAATCATTGCTTTTTCATTTTAATAATTTTAAAACGCTAAAATCTTCCTTCAAATGAATATTAATGGTTTCAATGCTCAGGCGATAATATAATGTTGAACAAAATGTCTTAAAATAAAACTAATTCCCAGCCTAAAGATCAGTTTTTCTGATTATCATGAATCATACAGATGGAGTGAGAAATAAGCAAACAAAAAATTTTTCATTAATACATTCCATGTTTTTTATTGCACTACAGAATGATACCATTGTAGTTAATTCACACTGTTCAATTATCTTTTGAAGCAGTGATCAGTAAATCTTTTCCATCCTGTGATAGTGCAATAAGGTACGTCTGACGTACATTTTTTTTCTCCAATGTTATATATATTTGAATAAATATATATATTTCATCTTTCGCAGAAAGGTTGAAATAAAAATGAATGGTTTTAATGTCGCTACTAAAAAAAAGCAATGGAATTATAGGTTTAGTTTTAGGTTTATTTATTGCTTCTAAAAGTAAATATGTATTTCGTTGCAAGTTTTGTCTAACTCATTTTACACAGGCTATTATCTATCAATTTTCTTTTCTGTGTCTGCGCAACTAACTAATTGTCAGAGTATACGTATTTTTCATGTTTGTATATGAATAGACAAAGGTCAGCAATGAGACTAAACACACATGTATGCATGCATATTTGTCTGTCTACATGAATTAATGAATCATTGAAGAAAACGATTGCGGTAAATGAGGTTCGAAAAGCAATTGCTCAAACCTAAATACATGTCAAGGTCCTTCTCGATGCTATTCAATCATAATATGCACATAAACATAAATGCGCACTAACCTTTGCTCATTCGAGTATTATACAGGAACTCTCGTTTTTGCTCACGTTTATACTTATGTAGCACAAATGCTCAAATATACCCGTATACATAATGCGTAATCACGAGAATGAGCACATATATAAGCTCACATACAGAAAAATTCACGCATACGAAGTATGTCATGATTGAGCAAGTTACCTTAATTATAATTGTCCTTTTTTTATAGCATCTTAATTTTTGAGCATGTTTCATTTGGCTGGCGTTCTCATTTTTTTCTGCTAAAGAATTGTGTATATTTACATTTCATGACATTTATTAATCTTTTTCATCAAATCATTTCTATTAGTTTTTCACTTTTAACGCTTTGCTTGAAATGTTACTGAATTCCAAAATATATGTGTAGATATATAAAAAATCAGCAATATATTGCTAGAATAACTTCATGTCTTGGGTATTTTTGCTGACACTATATGTCATGCAATTTGTGAGTTATAATTCTTTCTCATAAAATTGAATCTTTTTATAACTATAAGGAAGAAAATTAATTCTGTGTTACTCTCTGAAACTGACATAAGTAAAAAAAGTAAAATTTCTGTGTAAGCAAGATTTTTGCTTCAGCAATATAACTTTTTTCTCGTGACATGTATAATTCACAAATTCTTTTATCTGTTAAGATAGATTCAAACTGGAGTCTAATATAATACAGAAATCGTAGCTATAAGCTACTCAATATTTCTAGCTAGTAAAATAGATAAGACTACCATGCAATTATATTTTTTTAGTCGCTTAAAATTTTAATTTGCTAAAAAAATTTTTTTTTGGCAATGAGTCAGAAAGATACGTACATCCAAAAATAATAAGATCAATTTTATGCAGTACATTCATTCCCACGTGCTATTTTTTGATAACATTCATTAAATTGAATCGAGAAGTATTTTTGATGGTGTTTTTTGGGTGTTGTTTCATTGAGTTAATAATGCAATGATCTCATTGCTGTTTTGGTAGTGCTATAAGAGCGTAAGATTCGGTCAGCTGACCTCTTTTTAATTAACTAACCACAAGATTAAATTTGTGAAGGAAAGGCATTTAGAGTTGAGAGAAATGAAGAAAACTTGATTTAGGAAAAAGTTCTGTATTTCTCTGTAAGGAGCTATTTGAGCACTTAAATTAATGTAGAAATAACCTTCAAAATATGTCAAGGGTATCATTTTCCAATACTTCTTTGCATCTATTTTTGATCTATTTGATTCATCATCATTATTCGCTATATTCATTATCGAATTATTTATTTTTTAGTTTGTTAATTCACTTAATTACCTATTTAATTTATACCTTTGTTTTCATCATCATTGCTCTTCTATAAACTGGCATAAAGTTTCCGCAAAATATGAAAAATGAACGAATATTATTAGATACTTTCTTCTTTCCTATATATTATTTAATAATGAAAAAGTTGAGTTTTATCATTATGCATTTGATTGTTGAATTTAAAAAGTAAGTCTCATTACTTGTCAATTATTCTGTATTATGAAAATACTTCATATCACTGAGTATTCTTCATTTATTCAAAATTGTTCTTTTGAAAATCAGTGCTCTCCATTAAAACTCCGAAATTTATAGGAAAGGAAGTTCATGTGTTACTTTGTACTGATTACCTCCTAACTCGGAGATCAACTATTTGACTTCTTTGTATATGCCAAGGTCAAAAGGCGTGGTCTATTTCAATAATTTATATGAGGAAATTTAAAATTGACGTTTCTTTTTCATATTTATGTTCAGATGTTGTTTGTGCTATTTTATTTCTTTAGCAATAATCCAAAATTTTTGGCCATTTCATGTCATTATCGCTTAATTCTTTGTGTCGCTTCGTTGTTACCATGGCAAATTAGTGCTATTGATTGTTGTATCAATTTGGTGAAATTATTTTTCTGGTATTATTGCTAGAAAGTATATTTTTCATTGCGCAATGTTAATTGTGTGTCTAAAGTATTTTCTCTTTTTACTTCGTAATTTAACTTTTGCATTTTGTTCGTAGAATAAATTGAATTATATAAGTATTTAGTTGTTAATCAATTCCATTTAACTGTCTTTTTTGCTTTAAATATTCAAATAATGATATATATTAAATTAATAAAGAAGTGAAACACTATATTGTATTTTATCTTTGATTTCACTGATATGATCATCAACTTATCAATTAATTTAATTTGTAACGAGAAACAGTAAACAATAGTACATTGGTTCAAGTCTTTAAACTCAATTAAATTCTAAATTTTTATTAATTCATCATTCATTGTTAACAGCTTTAGATATTTTATTGATCGCTATTGAAAATTTTTATTAATATTTAAATTTAAAAGGTCGCAAGGATTGGTCTACTTTCAAGACAATTTTAATGATTAATTACAACTTTCTTTAACAAATAATATTCTGTTTGTGATAATTTGTATTTGAAATGACAACTTTTTATGAATAATAGTTTGCTAATCAAACTGATGTTTCTAGCTGGATGCATATGTTTTACGGATTATGGACGATTTCTTTGCTCATATCATATGGTGAATATTTGATTTCAATTAAAAAATTGAAAATTTTAAACCACTTATTTTTGCATTTCTTGTCAATAAAAATATGGTTTAGTAAGCATGAAGCATGCTGAGTTCCTTGAAATGATACAGAGTTCTGTGATTATAAAAATAAGCCCATGCATTGGAAGTTTTTAGATTGGCAAAATTTTGAAAAACTTTTGGAACTAAATATATTTTTTGAACTTCAGCAATGTTATTTAAAATCCCAGAACTTCCAGATCTAATTTCAGGAGCTCAGCGTACTTCATTGATATCTTCTGGAAACCACAAATTGATAAGACATTTCTTTGAATTTTGCAAATCGAGAACTGAATACATCAAGATTATGGCTTTTGATATAGATATGACTGTAGAGGTATTTAATTTCCAGTCACAATTCTGAAATTTTATTTTTATAAATTGATGTCAGTTTAATTATTGTTTTATATTATATCCATAGTTATTGAGTAAAAGTTTGAGGCATATTTTATTTTGTAATTTTTCTAACTTTCTGTTAATTGAAAAAATTTATAGTGTCGTCAACTCGACGAAAATGCAATCCAGTATTTGTACGATGGCAACGAGTGAGGATAATGTTTGGTGCTCGAGCAGAAGGGCCATACTCATTTCAAACATGTAAAGGATCATGTGCAAATGATGAAGATCCCGTGAAAAGTAGTCAAGAAATACAGTGCTCAGGGTTGGTCATTTTTATTTAAAATTTTTCTTTCAGACAGTTTTTTTTCTGTATTTTCTAGATGATTTTTATGACTAAATTTTCTCTGCACTAATATAAATTTAGATATTTCACTACATAATATCTACATCCTAGTCGTAGTCCTACATTAATTTTAGCATTTTGATATAATTCATATCGAAATTGCAAAATACCGAAATATATCATCAGTAACTGGAAAACTACAAAAGCAAATCATTTATATAATAGTAGATGTAAGTATGATTTAATGGGCAATTAATACTAACTATTATATTTAAAGTGTCGAGATAGTTTTTTTGAATTTGTCCGTAATTTGCAATTTTTTTTCTGCGAAAAATCGGTTTATTAACGGTTGCATTACGCTGTTATTTTGGTTACAAACTAATATTTTCATGTGCTGAATAAAAATCATTTGATTGTAACGAATGGATTTTCTTTGGTTTGCAAATAAAAGTAGAAAAAAAAGTTCAATTGAAAAAAAAGATTTAACTGAACAAAATAAAAACGAAGAGCTATGAAGTTTGTGCAGTAAAGATACGAATTTATTGCAAATTAGAACCTGAACTTAATCTAAATTTAAACTACGAAATTGTTTCTTAATATGCAGATTCAATTATCGTCAAGGACTATCACAGTATTCGCAACATTGCCAGTTGTATCAGGCTGATCAGTTACAACACGGAGAAAGTTTTTTTGAAGCTGACGATAGGTATTCATTCTACTGGGAGTATTGTGTTCAATGTAAGTTCTTTCTGTTTGTTTTCTTGTGCTATTTTATATTTGCATATCTCAGTAATGTGTAGCATTCGAAATAGAATATGCATTTACTTTAATCAACTATTTAAATTTTCACTCCACTTATGTGATGATTTGATATTTCATACTACCTGTTTTATCGAAATATTTGATTTCTTCTCTAAGATGCATCTACTTTTAATTCCATCTTATAATAAAATATTCAGTAAATAAATCGTGTGAAACGAAGTATGAAATGGATTAGTTTACAAAAGCAAATAATTGTCATGACAGAAAAAACTAATTGATTAAAATATTTCAAGGTTATTATACCATCCATGCACTACGTCAATCAGGTCGTTCCCTTACAAGGGTGCAAACTATAACATACTCTTAGTACTACATTTCTAAAAAGACCTAATATATAAAAAATAAATCGTTTATAAGTTCCTGTGACCTTTGTTACTTTACTTTAAAAAAAGTTGAAGTATTTGAAAATGAACAAATCAATTATCCTTTTCTGAAGCATTGCTCTTTTCTTCAAATAAATTTGTGAATGGCATTAGTGGCTTTTTATTACTTTAATTTTTCTTTTTTAGCGAACAAAAGTTGCTCTGGAGACTATGCGTTCACATACTTATCAGATCGTTACATGGATCTTCAAGAAGTTCGAGAAGTGATTAGTACACAAACGCTGGAAGATTGCTTAACTGCGTGTTTGGATGTAACTAATTACGCATGTCGCAGTGCATCTTACAACCGTACTGATGGCGATTGTCTTTTATCACATCATAATCAGTTGAGCAAACCAGCAATGATTAAGATCAATAATAATCCCAATTACCGAATTGATTATTACGAAAACAATTGCGTCAACAGTTAGTTTTACGAAGTTTGTACTTGTATCAGTAGTTGATGCCGATTTGAAAAAATTTTTTCTTGACTAATATGAGCTTTCAAAAAATTGTCGATCACTTTATAAAATTAAATAATAATTATGGTTTAAATAAAAATGATACTTTTAATATATTGACGACAATAAAAACTGACAGTTCAGTTGCAGATTCTTTCACATTTGATTATAATTGCGAAGATGATGGGATACAAGTGAAGGTCACCTCCAAGTATCCATATACAGGTGCTATGTATGGCTTGTATGATTTTTTTACTTGTCGTATTGAACCTAAGGATGAGACCGAATTTGAATATTTTTTCCCATTTCCAACTATTTCCGGAAATTGCAGTGATAGCATGCGTTATAAGGTAATTCTTCGCTTTTTTGCAAATGGAATTCTAATAATTTATAAGACACGAAAATATAAAGCATAAAAAGGAAAAAACTGGAATATTTTTGGAGAAGATAGTATGCTAGCTAAAATCATCTAGAATTTTATGCATCTTTAATATCAATTTTTGAAATTTTCCACATTTTTTCAGGGAAGAGATGTAGTACTGGAAATAGTGTTATCAACTGATGGTGTAGAGCCATTGTACTTTATAACTCCTGATGATCTCACCTACCAAGCTCGATGTCCGTTGAAGGAAGATAAGCATTCGAGTCGTGACAACGATATTAATCCCAGCATTGAAAAGTAAGTTTTCCTTTTTACTTCTGTTTTCTCTGATTTGTTGCTTATTTTATTTAATTAGTTATCTTATTTTGAATTTTTTTTTCGTTTACTGAACTTATCTTCAGAAGTAGTACTAGTACTGTTTGGTGGAATGAAATTATTGACTGAATTCTTTAACTCAGCCTTGATCTATCCGAGAAACTAAATAATTAAGTTTGCAGTATTTCTTGCATGTTGGTTGGTTATGTTGCACGATACGCATGTTGCATGTTTTCAGTGTAGCAAAATATGACAATCTGAAAGTGTTCGCATCTGCACATGCATTGTTCTCAATGTTAGCTAATAAAACCAATCGACATCGACTATCTGAAATTAGTTTTAATTCATCCCAAAAACTTCTGAATACTACTGAAGCCACAAAAATTTTTCACCCGTCTAAACTGGAATACATATTTGATGTAACACCATCTTTAACTCTCACTGCTTTCCCTAGTCAAAATTCTGATTCAAACATCACTTCAGCTACACTAAATACGGCTTCGCCAAAAATTACTGCAACAACGGAGTTTATCGGAATTTCTGACTTCACTATTCCATTGCTTATTACTGAGAAGTCAGAATCTAACACAATTACTACTTCAAGTTATCCAGTAAATCTCACATCGAACAGAATGAGCCTGATATTCTCAACAGATAATACAAGTTTAACTGGACTTACAAACATATTCGAAGGAACATCTGCTGGTGATTTAATACTTCCCAACATGAAAATTCCAACAGATGTGAAGGCATCTAAAAGTTCAGAAGCATCAACAGTAGGAAGTATAGAGACAGAAACAATTATAACTAGTAAAATAGGTACAAATTTGGAAACAAATATGAAGAAGTCATCAGTTTTTGTGGTTAATAACTCAAGCTCAACTTTTGGCACATCACTGACGGGATTTCGGGAGATGACAACTTCAGTAAGTGGTACTTTAGCCACTAGTATTGAAGCAGATAAAACGAAAATAAAACCAACGATCACAGTTTCTGCAGTAGAAACCACTGCCAGAAGTTTTCCTTCAGTGAGAAATGGAAAAATTATAAATGAAGCAACAGGTCAGGAAAATGAACGCATTATGATTACGTACTAATCCACTCGTTTCAAAAAATTACCCTGTTACCTGTAATAATTTATTTTATTGTCCCATTAACCTTTCATAAAATTTGTGAAAGTCTTTGATAAATAAACAAAAAACAGCATTTTATGGGACAGTAACTTTGACTTCGAAATTATCTTCTTCATTAACAAGTAACAACTTTGACTGGAATTAACTCTAGAAAGAAAATTAACTTTATTAATGCTTCTGTAGTAAATATAGCATGAAGTTTGAACTTTGTGAGTGATAAAATTTAGACAAGCATGAGAGCACAGAGCTTCTACTTGCTAATGAAACTCAGACTACATTTTTGGCTGCTACTAATGGCACCATGTTAGTAAATTTACCTAGCACTACACTGGTTTTTGAAAATGTATCCGTTAACACAAAGCCCTTTGGTAACGATGGTAGTATTAGAGGCACCGATGCACCATCACTACTCACTCAAGAACATACCAAGATTATGAAAAAGTAAGTATCATTCGATTACATTCCACTAAATTTTAACACAAGCCTTTGATTTAAAAATTTTTGAATGAGAAGTTGCCTCCTTTTGCATGTTGTAGTATTTTTGTTCTTGAAAATTTTAAAAGTTTTATTAATCAAATTGGGCGAAAATTTTTCGTAATTGAATGCTGGTAAAATTTAGGTATAACGCACCGACGACATTTTCAAGTGCAAATAATACCAGAATAGAAACTACAATGCAACCAACTATACCACCATTAACAACCGATTTTCAAGTACCATTGTCATGGTTAAATACAACGCAAAATCCAGAAAGTTCTGAAATGCTTTTTTCTTCATCACTATTACCTTCATCATCATTATCATCGTCTTTGTCTACGACACTAGAAGTAAATACAACAAATGAAAACACTAATAGTGTCAACAGTACTATAACAATGATTTTAAATCCGATGGAAAAAACAGGAACTGAGAAAACTGAGGCAACAGTGACTGGTGAAAGTCAAGCAACTGCTGAAACATCACAACATTTAATAATTAGTACAGTTGCAAAAAGTAACGTAGGAAACAATGCTACTTTAATTACTGTCGAAGAGAGTTGGAAAAATGTCACAACCAATGTACCGAGGTTAATCTTTAGTAATTATTTATGTAATTTGTTCGATTTTTTGAGATGTGATTGATCTAATATGCAATGATTTACTGACTAGTTTTGCGTTTGATTCTGTTATTAGAACTGAATATTGCTTCATATAAAGTGCAAATTTTTAGTACCAATCAAACAATGTTTCCTGTGAATAAGGTCGGACATACTTCGAAAAATGCTGTGATTTTTGATATCTTTCATAATGGCCAATCCGTTGAAGCGGTAGTTGTTGGTAGTAAAGTGACGCTTAGTTTCATTCCTTACTACGCTATTCCACGCAAGTTTTTTTATATTTTATGAGTAACATTACTGTCTCTTAAATTTGCTATACTTATCTGAATTTTTAACTTACAATTATTAAACACAAAAAAATATTTTCAGCAATATATATGAGCATAATAGGATGCCAGGTTGAGCCTATTGGATCACTTTATGAGTGGGAACGTGAACCATTAGCAATAGTTAAAGATGGTTGTCAGGCAGATCATGTCGGTTTGGTGTGTCCACCACAAAGAACTGAATATGGTATTCGTGTTACAGTAGAATCATTTCGATATCAGACCACTTCACAAGTTCAGTATTCTTGTCTTGTCCGGATCTGTCCATTTGCGCCATGTCCCGATGTATGTCGTAATTATTTTTCAGCCAAAAAATTTGTTGTATTTGATCAGACTTAACCTTAAATAATATTTGGAATAATATAATATAGTATTATAGACAAAATGTGAAGATGTGGAAGGTTGTGAAAAGTCTGATACATTATTGAATACATTTGGATTACGCTCAAAGCGTCATATTACAATCGAAGATATAAGAGCTGCACTAGCTGCAAATCCAGATTTGCAACGGCAGATACAGTTAATGAATCGATTTGGCACACAAAGTCAAACAACGTCAGGTATATCGCTTCCTGGTATTCTAATATTTTTTAAAAATAGTTTCTAATTTGTAAAATCCAGATTTATCAATTTTTTTCAGATTGTTAATTTGCATTGTCAGTATTAAACTACAAAATACTAAGAATGAGCAGTGAATTCAAAATTGACATTCTTGAGCGATGATTTAAATGTTGGACATTTGCTAAAAATTGACAGACTGTGCTCTCTCTAGCTAGAATTATTAAATAGAGTAAATAATTTAGAAACTCAACAGCAACTGATAGCACTTGGAGGTGATCATGTTGTCAAAAAACAATTGGTAGTAGTGAATTCTGAAGAGGAATTACGATACTACGTTCGAACAGGCGATATACCTTAAGAAATTGATTATTATTCCCTTGATGAGATAAGCAGTTTTTGTTACATTCCAATCTCTATTTCCCAGAACTAAGAAATTAGTTGCAGGGAAAAAGGGTCACATTTACATGAATCTATGATCTTTATCTTTATTAACATGTTTCAAAAACCAATGAGACATCTGTTTGGTTCTAAAAAATTCGAAATAATACTTCATCCGAAAATGAAAAAAATTCATGCGATGTGAGACATTGCAACGATGTGCTGTTCAAGTTTATACTTAAGATTTGAAACATGATTTAAAATGTCCAAGACCATTCCCGTGATGAAGTCAGTGTTAAGAGCGTCCATAACCTGACCGCCTCACTGCAATAACCCAATTTATGTATTATGAATTGTACAGCATTTTGCATTTGACAGTTATTAATGGAGTAGTATGACTGACTTTATCCGATTTCGGGTATTTCTGTCTGATGCTATGTTCTGTGATAATTAAATTTGTATAAATTGATCACTGCACCATTATTTAATGCATATGAAAATAATGAAGTACCTTATTCCCTTATTTATGAAGGCCATGGAAAAAAGGATAAAGAACTATATTATGCCAAATTCTCAATCTCAGTATTTGTTTTGATAGCTTCAGTTCTTTTTTATATTATTGTGATGACTAAAGAAATGCTATTCTGTCTGTGATTT